CATCTCATGAGAAGAGAAGACTCCCTGGAAAAGACTCTGATGTTGGGAAAGAGTGAAGGCAAGAGAAGAAGGGGGCGACAGAGGACGAGATGGCTGGACAGTGTCACAGAAGCGGCCAACATGAATCTTCGCATTGCAATGTTTAGAAAACAGCTGATCGGTGGTTCCAAAATGGCCGTCAGATCAACAAAATGGCCACCCGCAGCATTTTCGCGCTGATTCCTCACTTACCAAGGCAGCGAAAATGGCGGCCCTATGGAAGATTCCCACTTAGCGGTGAGTTTTTCCCCAATAGGAACGCATTAAACAGAGTTTAATGTGTTCCTATGGGTTCCCCCCCCACATAGCGACGAATCCGGATAGCGATGTTAATCCTGGAACAGATTAACGTCGCTATGCGGGGCACCACTGTATTGTTTTGACCCTTTCAGCGAAGAAGCTTCCTATAAGAAAAGGAAAACTGAGAATGGATAAGAAGGAAAGCATTAAAGAAAATCCAGGTAGAATTTCTGCTCATCTGCCATGATGCCGGTATTGTAAATGAGATTCTTTAAACAGTTATCCTTGTAGGTCTGCTATGAATTTATAATGAGACGCCTTAACATTTATATTTGTCCATGCCGCAGGTGCAATCATTTATTAACATGGCAATAAATGTTTAATCTTGATCGTCCGTAACCTTTTCGATCAGCTGCTTAACCCTTTGTGCTTCGAGGACAGGATCCAGAAAAAGAGGTGGGGGGAGAGGGAAGAAAAGAATAGGTTGTTGTCAAGAGTATCATTAACTCTCATTAGAATCAGAAATGGGAAACGGTTTACCAGCTTCACCGTCCATGATATTTAGCATAGAGGTAATTATCCATCTCATGAATGGATTCCCATCCAACCCTAGAAGAATATAAATTCATATTCGAAAATTGCAATCAAGGAATTAGCCTGTTACTTCACAGTGAAAGAAGCAACTGAGCACACACAGCAACAGCAATGCCTGTGTCTAACGTAGCCTTCTCCCTTTGGTGTATAAAGTCACAGCATGACAAGTTGCAACAGAAGCTTCCATCTATCATGATCATGATTAGGACCTGAGACCGAAGAAGGCAACCTTTCCATTTTCAGTGGCCTAAAGTCAGCAATTCTCCAGCCTCTCTTGTTCATTCACATTCTTTCCACTTGTAGCACATACATCCAAAGAGTATTTATGACAGTGTTGTCCCCTGTGAAGTTGGAATGTCTGTGAACATTCTTCACCAATCTTTTAAGAGCCAACATGAGGAGAGAGTAAATGGCACAGATAGCAAAGGCTGATCATGCATTCCTGTTTCTGCAGGAGAGATGCTGTAGGCCACAAATTATATATATTTGGGTGATACAATGGTGTTAGATTTCAGCCAGGGTAGCCCATAATCTCACGGACAGCCGGCAAGCTATAAATTTTAGGTCTCCATTTCAGACAATATAGGGAGATAATGTAAGCATCCACATGGGAGATGGTGTGGCTCTGTGCTTCCTCGGAGAGGGATCAGCTTAGATCAACCAGAACATATACAGATGATAAAGTTACAAGTTATTTTCTCTTGTTTCCTAGCTTGGGCCCATTGTGCTGACTAGAGAGAGAGAGAGAGAGAGAGAGAGAGAGAGAGAGAGAGAGAGTACTGAGTATATGCGGCCCCATAGCACTTAAAGCACTCTCTGGGTGGTCTGCAAGTTAATTATGAAGGCTACATACTGCGCCCTTGCAAGTGAGCTGGGTACTCATTTTACCATCTTGGAAGGATGGAAGGATGAGTGAACCGTGAACCAGCTACCTGGGATTGAACCCAGGTTCGTGAGCACAGTTTTGGATCTGCTCTCTGGGTGGTCTGCAAGTTAATTATGAAGGCTACATACTGCGCCCTTGCAAGTGAGCTGGGTACTCATTTTACCATCTTGGAAGGATGGAAGGATGAGTGAACCGTGAACCAGCTACCTGGGATTGAACCCAGGTTCGTGAGCAGAGTTTTGGATCCGATACTGCAGTTTGACCCACTGCACCACAAGGCTCTTCACAAGACCCAAGGACTAGCTTCATAACTCATGATGAGCCTTCTTTGTAGAGAAGCCAGGACAGGAGAGCTACAGACCCTAGAAAAATCTCATTCCAACCCTTGCCTCGCTGTCCTCTGTGACAAACCAACAAAACCCCCTTTGTCCTGATCTCAGGTTGGTTTTTTTTATTTATTTAAATTATGTTTACCCCACCTTTCTCCTTCAAAAGGACCCAGGTGTTGTTCAACTGTGACTCTCAGAAACCCCAGCCAGCACAGCTAGTGGTGAAGGCTTTTGGGAGTTGCAGTTCAACAACACCTGGGTTGCCTGAGGTTGGGAACCGCTAGGGTAGGTAATGGTGTGGTTCTCCAGAGGTTGCTGAACTGCCACTCCCAGTGTTCTTCCCCATCTGCCATGGTAGTTGGGCTGATGGGAGCTGCAGTCCTCCAGTTCCTGGGTGGCCATCCTTTGCCAACCCACCGTCAACAGAGTTAATGAATTCCTCTCAAAGACTGATTTATTTCTAGTCATTCAGAAATGCAGATTCCACGGTTTAGTCTTTATCAAAGTATTCTACACAGGGAACCACTGGCTCATTCCCACCTCTTTCTATTTTTTGTCTTCACAGCAATGACAATGCAGTTCATAAGCCATCGATTTCCCGACTACCACGATCCCACTATAGGTAAGCTACATATTCCTGGTCACTTGGGGCGGGGAGCCGACATCTTGAAAGACCATCCGTAGCATGATCTTTTTAGTCTACATTTCACTTACAGAACCATAGAATTGGGAGGAACGTTAACAGTTGTCGAGTCTGATGTCTGCCGATGGTAGAAACTCACCATTAGACCTTCCCTGAGGGGAACCCATCGAGTCTCCCTCCTTGGCTTCAGGAAAAAAATAAAGACATTCTTTACCCAGGCTTTTGTCTGCCGATGGTAGAAACTCACCATTAGAGCTTCCCTGACAGGAACCCATTCATGTAGTACAACAAAAAAGACATTTATAAATAAAGGGCTGCTAAGCTGGCCAGCAGTCCTGCTTATGGACTGCTTTTGCAGCCCTGAAAACCAAGTTGGCCGCTGCATCCCCGGAGTTCCAGAGTGGCCATGGCAAAAACAGTACACTTCTCTTTCCTCTCAGAGGAACCTCACGTCCCTCCTGCACTATCCGATGAGGTTAGAGGCCAGGAAATCCATTACTGGAAACTGGGCCTTCTCAGTGGTGGCCACCACGTTGTGGAACCCTTTCCCTGTGTAGGTTCGCCAAGCCCCCTCCCTCCTTGGCTTCAGGAAAAAAGTAAAGACATTCTTTACCCAGGCTTTCGACATTCTTGCTCCACTTTAAGTTCTAATGCTTTATATCTCTAATATTGGATTATCTGTGATGTTATAGACTGATTATTGGGTTTTGCCACCATCTGTATTGTAGGACAGAATGTATTACTTCTTTAGGTCGGGAGGTTTTTCCATTTATGTTTTAACTGTTGTCATTATTGAATTTTAGTATATATTTATGTCTTTTTTTAAAACTGTAAGCTACCTACAGTAGTGCCCTGGCCATTATATAGGCAGAATGAAAATCTAAATAAATAAGTAAGTAAATAAATATAGAGCATGGTGGCGCTACAGGTTAAACCACAGAAGCCTCTGTGCTGCAAGGTCAGAAGACTAGCTGTCATAAGATCGAATCCACGCGACGCAGTGAGCTCCCGTCTCTTGTCCCAGCTCCTGCCAACCTAGCTGTTCAAAAGTATGTAAAAATGCAGGCCCTGTCATTTGTCCCAGCTCCTGCCAACCTTGCAGTTCGAAAGTATGTAAAAATGCAGGTAGATAAATAGGTACCACCTCGGTGGGTGGGTCACGGCGTCCTGTGTCTAGTCGCACTGGTCACGTGACCATGGAAACTGTCTAGGGACAAACGCTGGCTCTGAGGCTTGGAGATAGGGATGAGCACCATGCCCTAGAGTCAGACACGACTGGACTAAATGTCAAGGGGAACCTTTACCTTAAGTAAGTAAATAAGTAGATAAGCAAGTGAGCAGACAGACAGATAGTGTCAATCCACATTTTCACTCTAAAACAGAGCACCCCAGGAAGGGTTATTTAGCTAAAAGACAAGATGCCCACCTTGTTTCATAGGGTAAAGAGAGCAGAGTGATTTTCAGTTTCATGGAGGAAAAAAGTAGTCCTCTTACAGATATTCCCATTCTATATCATGCTGCCATTAATTCAAAGAAACTTTTGCTTACAATGGTTAACTCCCAGGGCCGATTAATCAGATGATTAATCTACTGATTATACAGAAAATTGTTCACATCCAATGGGGTTTGAGGTTACAGCTCCTAGAATCTGCCAGCCAACATAGTCACTGGTCTCACTTGTTGGGTGATTCCAAGAACTGCAGTTTTAAAGACGCTGGGGGACAGGGATATAATAAGTTTTCAAGATCTGTTTCATATTAAGTTGAACCTCATCAACTTTCTTGTCTTGGGTATAAAAAGAGGGTGTGGGCAGGAAGTCGGAAGTTGTGTTTGCAGTTATTATTAGACCAGTGGAAAATTTACCCTCTGTATGTGAAGGACTGAAAAAGCTGTACTTTTCTAGATATAAGATATAAGCTGGTTCAGTGGTTTGTGCCAGTTTGCTTTTTGACCAAACAGACACCCGCTTTTCCCTGTGTGTTGTTTAAATAAACCTTATTCCTTTGTTTGTTTAAAAATCCATCCCTGGTCTGTGTGACTTCTTATAGGGAATGGTTGGTGGCAGCTTAGTGAAACTGTGGCATATCCCAGTAGGTCTGGGTTTGTCACAAGTGGTTTATGCCAGTTTGCTTTTTGACCAAAGGCAGCACCGAGAGGACTTGAAGTAGGGAAACCAGGGTGCTGCCTTTGAGTGGGCACCTGCCAGGGGAGGTGGGGCTGGCAACTGTCAAACGCCTGTTTGGCTAAAAAATGAAGTGCACAAGCCACCAAGGTGATTCATGCTCCTCTCTATTACCCTGTATGGGCGAGTAAAGGAGAAACCTATGTCAATGCAACATGTCTTATGTGCTAAAAAGTCTATTATTCTGCAGCGAAGCAATCAAGGTTCTATGTCAGAGGAAGCTAGATTAGGTTCCCTGTGTGACTGGTGCAAAATAAGCATTTATCGAGGGGATGTGGTGGCGCTACCCCTGTGTGACTGGTGCAAAATAAGCATTTTTCGAGGGGACGTTGTGGTGCTGTGGGTTAAACCCCAGAAGCCTCTGTGCTGCAGGGTCAGAAGACCAGCAGTCGTAAGATCGAATCCATGCGACAGAGTGAGCTCCCGCCGCTTGTCACAGCTCCTGCCAACCTAGCAATTCGAAAGCATGTAAAAATTTGAGTCGGTAAATAGGGACCACCTTGGTGGGAAGGTAACAGCATGCCGTGTCTAGTCACGCTGGCCACATGACCACGGAAGATTGTCTTCGGACAAAATGCTGGCTCTACGGATTGGGTATGGGGATGAGCACCACACCCTAGAGTCAGACACAACTGGACTAAATGTCAAGGGAACCTTTACCTTTTACATAAAATGGATTCAAGTTTTGAAAAACTCATGTGCATTCTTCAGTTGACTCCAGGCTTGCTACTGAGATGGAAGCGTGAAGAGCCTCATAATGGGTACATCTGATCTGTTGATCGTACAAATAAAATTAATAATAATGGGCACATAAGAATGGGCTCAAGTTACAGGAAGCCAGATTTTAGCTGAATATCAGGAAAAACTTCTCAACTGTTAGAGAAGTACAGCAATGGAAATGCCTTGGGAGGTGGTGAGCATATCAGGAAAAACGTCTCAACTGTTAGAGAAGTATGGCAATGGAAATGCCTTGGGAGGTGGTGAACGCTCCCATGCTGGAGACATTCAAGAGAAAATCGGACAACCACCTGGCAGATCTGCTTCGATTTGGATTCCTGCATGGAGCATAGGGTCGGCCTTGATAGCTTTATAGACCCATTCCAATTCAATTAATCCATGATTTTACGATTCCAAAAACCTGGAAACTACATAAGCCCCCCCCCCAACGAGATTTTGGCAGAACTTGGAATTTGGATTCCTGCATGGAGCATAGGGTCGGCCTTGATAGCTTTATAGACCCATTCCAATTCAATTAATCCATGATTCTACGATTCCAAAAACCCCAGCCAGATTTTGGCAGAACTTGGCTGCATTTGGGATATAAAGAAAGCTCGTTAAACTCTTTGTTTCCAGGGATTTTGATTTCCTGAACCAATGAGAGCCGTCAACAAGGAATTTTCAGGCCTCATAACACTTTCACCATCTGATGACAATCAGTAGCAATAGCCTCTTTTTCTCATCAGAGTCTCTAGCATCTATGTAAATTGTCTCTGAACAATATATGGTTTCTTTCCCTTTAAGAAGCAAAGCAAAGCACAGAAATACCTGGCTGATTGTTTAAAAAGATGCAAATAAGAATGGCAGATCCCTCGTGGCACAGTGGTTAAACCGCTGTACTGCAGTCAAAACTGTGCTCATGACCTGGAGTTCAATCCCAGGTAGCCGGCTCAAGGTTGATTCAGCCTTCTATCCTTCCAAGGTTGGTAAAATGAGTACCCAGCTCGTTTGGGGGGGGGGGGCAATGTGTAGCCTGCAAAATTAACTTGTAAACCGCCCAGAGAGTGCTTGAAGCACTATGGGGCGGTATATAAGCAGCACGCTTCACTTTGCTTTTTTTGCAAATAACCATCCAATGCTTCTAAACTTAAAAGTCCGAGCGAAAAAGCAAAGTCATTTTTGCAAGATTTGCATTCTTCCTCCCCAAGAAGGTACTATCAGCACAATTTCGCTTAGATCTGTGAAGGCAAATATTCTTGATTTTGTATGTTGTTGAGATTGTTACAAAAGATCTCACCCTCCATTTATGAGGAAGAGACAAGTGAGGGTTTGCATCCCTAGGCCACACTCATCAGAAAAGAGTTTGGGATGCATAAGGGTCAGAATGCTGCTTATTTGTTAACGTTATTACTATGGATTTAGATTCTATGCCGTTTGCCATGTTTTAATTTGTTTCTCTGCACTTCCATGTAAATGCAAGATAGACCCAATTTTCTCGCCCATGAACTAAAGGGCAAAACAAATGGCAACCCTTGTCTTTTGAGTCTTCTGAATTATTAGTTTGCATTTGCCATTTACGATGGCATTCCACTGGAAACAGAGGCAGTGGATGTCAATGTCCATCACCCCTTCCTGCTTGATCTGGAAGAGTCCTGGCTTCATTATGAATTCTCAGTATCACCTTTAACAGGGAAAAGTGAGTAATGACCCCACGAGCTACCCTTCTGGATGCCCACAGGGGCACATCCATCACTTGGGATTAACATTGCCGAGCCTTCGGTGCTGACAGATGGCTGAGAGCAAACATTTATCTAGCTATAAAAGGTGATAGCTTTAAAACAATGAAAGACAGAAATTGGGGAACGGCACTTTGTAGCAGAGTTTGTGGTTTCCTTTAACTATCGTATTTTCCGTGTATAAGACGCCCCCATGTATAAGACACCCCCCACTTTTCTAATCCAATATTAAGAAAAATAAGTGGGGATTAGCAAGTTTAGGGGGAAAGGGATCAAAGCACTGCAGGATTGCTTTGATTCCTGATTTCCCCTCCACTTGTTTTTGTTCTCTCCTCAGCTTACTT